AATGACTCCTTTTTGCTCCAGCCATCAATGTACTACTGACTCCACACTGGACTATATCAAGGAGGGCACTCATTATATTCCAATTAAGGCCTCATCTCTAGTATGTTCGTATAGTTTTTTGTCTTACATCTCTTAATAGAAGACCCAAAGGGGCTAGTACTGCTTCTTTTCAGTGTTTAAGGCTCCAGTAAAGAGTTGGCTACGTTGAATTCAGCAGGACCTTTTTCTAAGTAGCCACATATAATATGGCACTGTTATTCTGGCAAACAAAGAGATCAATCTATGGACAGCTCATGGACTATGGGCAGCTTCAGTCCAAAATGATGGTGGGATCCTGCTCAGATTACAACCCCCCTATGGCTCAATCTTATAATACCATTTTCACTGTTTCTGAGAGATTGAAATCTTCACTGTGATATCTGGGAAATATTCTGTCTGTATCATCATGAAAAGGTGGGACGTGGTGGCGCTGTGGGCTAAACCGCAGAAGCCTGTGCTGCAGGGTCAGAAGACCAGCAGTCGTAAGATCGAATCCACGCGACGGAGTAAGCGCCCGTCGCTTGTCCCAGCTCCTGCCAACCTAGCAGTTCGAAAGCATGTAAATGCAAGTAGATAAATAGGGACCACCTCGGTGGGAAGGTAACAGCGTTCCGTGTCTAAGTCGCTCTGGCCATGTGACCACGGAAGATTGTCTTCGGACAAACGCTGGCTCTATGGCTTGGAAACAGGGATGAGCACCGCCCCCTAGAGTCGAACATGACTGGACAAAAATTGTCAAGGGGAACCTTTACCTTTACCTATCATCATGAAAGAGAGTATTTGTGCTTTGACCATTCCATCTCTCTCTCTCTCTCTCTCTTAAAAGACTTGCTGTCCTAACACAATGATGAAAAACACAAAGCAAGGAATCAGGGGAGAGACAGGAGGAAGTTTTCAGTTCGGCCTTGTTTCTAGTACAACAGTTTTGCTCTGGCCAGATTTGCAGGCAACATCATTTATTTATTTAACATATTTTTCACCCTGCCTTCTCCTTAAAGAGGATCCGAAGATTAGAGCAAACGTCCTCTCTCTCTGCTGATTGCTTGCTCTCTCCTCCCCACCCCTACCCTCGCTTTGGTCAGCTAGCGGCCTAGCACTAGATTAGCAAGCATTTAATATAAAAAAGAAGGAAAGAAGCAGAATGGAATGGGAGGAAAGATGAAAACCAAACAAGGCACCAGGTTGGGGGTGGGAGAAGAGGACTCAAACAGGAGAGCCAATTTCTCCACCGTCCTGCTGCTGGACCTGGTGGGAATGGCTTTAAATCCAACAGCTAAAAACCCCTCTACATTGGCTCAAGATAGCACACCATCTAAACTGATGGGAATGCATTTGATTCAAAAAAAATCAGAAGCCCCAGTAGTGGAGGAGAAAAAGTGCAGTTGGAGGCGGGGACTCCAAGCTGATTACACATAAATATTGTGTAGTTTATGGGAAATAATATGAATCTAACCATCCTCACCCTGCAGCATTTCCCACATCATTTGTCAATGTAATCACCCCTACGAGGAAGCCAACAGTTCCCCCCACTTCCCATTAAGTCTCTTGGAGGCATTCTTCATTTGCCAAAGTAATACATTATTATCGCAGTTTGTTTAAGGGTAAGATGTGATGATATAGGGTTGCATGTGTACATCCTGCTACCGCTTCGGATGCTTTGCTCTGGTCTCATTTTTGTGTACCATTAAACAGCCAATGAGCTGTAACTTAGCATCCATTCTGGAGTTTAAAATTATTGGTTACCATTATTCATTCCTGCTTGGTGAACGTGTCTTATAAGGGTCTCACCTGTTGAGATTTTTACCATACTAGAGGAGTGGCAGTTGTCCTGCACCTCAATAAGTAAAAAACTTCCTAATAATTTACTTAATTTACGTAAGAACTGATGGTACAATCCATATACCTCCCTGCCTATAAACATGGCTCCTCCCTCATTAATCCATTGTTAGCAGCACCAGCCGTTGGGGATTTTTATTAATAGCACAAACTACGAATAATGGGAGTCACTCGGCCTAACTATTCAGCCATGATGTGCAGGGCAATGGGAATACATCCAGCCACCTCGTCCCTCAAGAGGGAATCTGCTGACTCACCACATTTAGGAATAAAAGAAGTAATATTTGAGCCTAAAACTACCAAACTGCACCCTTGCTCTACCAACTTTACATTATCTCCTCTATTTTTTGTTTAAAACCACAAAGAGAGAAACAGACTTCTCCCTGTCATGGACTAGATGGACCTTATGTTCCAAAACCCACACACATTATATGTTTTTATCTTTCAAATTACCATGATAATTGTGTAAATACAAGTTTATGGAAGCTCAGGAAGAATGGCTGAGATCACATCTTTGGACTGTGTGACATGAGCAAGGCATTCAATTACATCCTAAAGACTGGACCCACTCCTTTATGTCAGAACAAAATAAAATACAAATGTCTGATATACACTGGCTTCATGCCATGATGATTCATGCAATCCATGTATTGTGGTTGGATCATGTTAAATCACTGTCAGATGATGGCAAAATCCATTCCCTGCAATAAACATGCTTTGTGGATTAATCTTCATGTGATGTGGCATTTACTATGCCAGACTGAAGTACTGTAGGCTTTGGTGGCAGATACTAGGTCTCGTCATGTAAAATATACATGGCTTTTTACAGCTCAGCTCAGCTTTGTTTCCCTTGTTCGCTTGTCTATGTTCTTCTGAAAACATGGACCCAGGACTGGACAATTGCACTGATTCACTGTATCTGATTCTATAATCCTATGTGCACTTATATGTGGGTAAACCCTCTCAACATAGGTCTGCATAGATTAGGCTGTGCATTATACAAAGGATGTTGCAATTTACAAACCAGGCAAAAGGGCTCATTTAGGATGTCAGAATGGATTAATCGCATTGGTGTCAAAGGAAATAATCAAAATCACTCCACTTCCAGTTAGTGGCCTAACTGGTGAGTGGACAATACCCAATGAGAGCAAGGGAAACTGTCCCATTGATATGTGAGAACTGGGATTAAGCTTCTAAATCTGCTGGCTAGAAAGTGTCATTCTTTCTCAGTACCAGTGATGTCAAATCTATGCATAAAATGTTAACACTAGCCAGCTAGAGAGGCACTTGCAGCTCTACCCTTCCTGGCCAACTTGGTCTCTCCTTAGATAAGCAGGAGAAATCTCAAGGGAGAGTCCATGTGGAATATTCCATCTTTATGCAGCAGACCAAAAAAAGTGCTGACAAGATTCAGGCTCAGGGAAGCAAATGAGCAGCTCCCTGCCCTCTTTCCAGCTCCCTAAAAATAGCCCATACAAGAGGTCCATCAAGAAATGGATCCTTCTTTCCCTTTGCCCTAAGAAAGCTAAAGAACTCTCTAAGGGGGTGTGGCCACCGCTTTCCGACACTTAATCCTGTTTGTGATGTCACAACCCTCCCTTAAATAAGAGATCTTAAGGCCAGGCATCAGGACCACTTTCAGGGATTCGCACATCTTGCGGCTAATTCCGCTGGCCTTGTTGGTGCTCCTCCTCTTCCTTTCCAACTTTCGCAATCATGGTGGGTTTGTGAAAAAAAAAGTTCTGCATAGTGATTTTATTGATCATTGTAATTTCCGTCTGTGCTAATTAAAATAGCATAAGAGAAAAAGGAAACTAACTTAGTGTGTGGTTGAGTAGTGTCGTGCCCTACCAACTAAGGCAGGAATCTATGTATAGAGTTACAGACAGGTCTTAGTGTTAATGTGTTAGGATTCATGCGGACGAGCTGGGTTATGTGGTAGCTTGCACAAGATATATGTATTATTAGCTATAGTCTGTGGTTTGTGTTTGTCAAAATAGCTGTGCAGAGGAACGTACCATGTTTCTTACCAGAAAATAAGACAGGGTCTTATATTAATTTTTGCTCCAAAAAAGCAGTAGGGCTTATTTCCAGGGGATGTTTTGTGTTTTTTTATGTACAACAATCTACATTTATTCAAATACAGTCATGTCATCTTCTGCTTGCTGTACAGTGGTGGAGGGCAGGGTTTCACTTAACTAGGGCTTATTTTGGAGGGTAGGGTTTATATTACGAGCATCCTGAAAAATCATACTAGGGCTTATTTTCAGGTTAGATCTTATTTTCAGGGAAACAGGGTACAAATAATCAATGAACGACTAATTAAAATGTACATATACATTTAAATATCAGACACATCAGTCTCTAGCAATGCAATATTATGTGTGTCTGTTCAGATATGAGTCCTACCCAAGTCAATGTGGTTTATCCCTTGATGAGTGGTATATAGGACCGCAACTTGAATTTATTTCCTTTTTCATTCTTCTAAAAGTAATACTAGTTGTTCAATGACATTATCAATTACCATTGCACATTTGAGGGCATACAATTATAGTTAATTATTATTTTTCAAAAAGGTATTTGCTTCTTTAGGCTATAGGTCATGCTCTGCCTATTTCTATTTAGATCTATCTATCTCTTTCTACTGTAAGGTGAAAGGATGAACTTTATATGCCAATTGCATTGGAATCTATTAGATACTAACAGAGTTCATTCATGCCCTAGTTAATTCATGTGAGAAGATATTACCTATAAGATATATGCAACTTTTGTCTGTCAGTGCAATTTTCCCCCCAAAGTACTAGCTTTTTCCTTTTCTTTTTCTTCTCTTTCTTGGCCTAAATGCAGTCCTTCAGCGCTGATCAGATTAATGGTAAGTGGAACATGAATTCAATTTCCTGCATACTGATGTGATTAATTACACAGAACATCAAATGATGTGTGCTTGTTAGCTTCAGCAAGCATCTATTCCATTAACAGCCTGATGGCATCTCAGCTACTCCTGAAGATCAATCCATTCTTTTTCTTTGCATCTTGAGGAGATGTTTCAAGGAGCAACCTAGATGCTCTAAATTCCAATTCAAAAAATTTTAAGGGTTTTTTTGTGATTGATTTCTTTCTAACAGATCGAGTTCTCCAAGGATCAACAGGATGGTAAGTTTGGGGGCAGCTAGTAATCATATACCAAGTTATTTGCATACAAGATGCTGTTGAAATATGTTCAGTGATACGAACAATGAACATTTATTGACTGGAATTGCATTATTAGACTTAACAAGGCTAAACCTAATATGGCCATCAATCTGGACTTTAAATTTATTGGGAAAGGTTCATAAAAATAAACACGATGCACACTGCTCCCTATTCCAGGTATTCACTCCTTAAAGAACTAGAAGCTCAGTGGATAACAGAAGGAAATTTCAAGCTATTATAATTAAGAAAGAAATCAGACGAGAAAAAATATTTTAAATGTCACCCATTGGTAAACTGACGAAGAATTCAGAACCATCCAGACATGCACACATGACACTTGTTTCTAAGAGGAATTTTAAGGCAACCTGTCCCTGTTGCATGGAGGGAAACAAGAGCTAATTAATGAAATAAGATGCAATATGAAATATTGAAATGAAATAAGATGCAATATGAAATATTGAAATGAAATAAGATGCAATATGAATTGTCATTGATTTAAGAGAATTTGGTGCTGATTATTTTTTGACGCACATTCCTTAATTCTGACAGAAAATTATCTGTCTGTTTTTTTACAAACAAGAAAACTCCACTTATCTATCACATCATTAATTTCCTAAAATATTACTAGCATAGATTTAGACCTTTATTTCAATAACTTCCTTAATTCGTTATTCATGTAAAAACAAAAAAAACTCTTGACTAACTGTGAGTTCTCAAAGGTTCCTGCCAAAACACAAGTATAGGAAGCAATCTTGTCATCTGTATCCAAGCAACACTGCATCACTAAGTTTGAATTTATTGTGCAAGTAGGCAATTTAAGATAATATTTGTGTATAATAAAGATAATGTCCTGAATTTTGTGATGGTCAGAAATCATTGATATGTTCTCCAAAATGTGGAGAATATGTCTAATATATATTTCATCAGATCATTCACAAAATTCATCTGGATTGCCAACTTTCACACAGACATAGATGCCCTCTGCAAATTTCAGATACATGCTAGAACACAATTTGTTGTTCTATGCTTCACTTTTGTTTAGAAACAAATAGCAAAAGGGTACAAAGCTGACTTCATTTTAGGTATCCTTGCCATGGTGAATTCCTATATAATGCTACACATTTCCTTCAACTGTAAATCAGATAGAAAACTCTATATTTAGAATTCACATTTGGTTTTAAAATGCCTCTTTTCAACTTTTCGTCGTGCATTAGCAACTTCACAAACAACACATTCAAAATGAAAAGGTATTCTTAGAATGCCTTCTTTTTGTTAAAGTGCTCACAGTCTTGCTAAATTAATTTAGGTTAATCTTTAGATCAATAAAAGTTCCGTAAGGGAAAGGTTCCCCTTGACAAATTGTCCAACTTGTCCAACTCTAGGGGGCGGTGCTCATCCTCGTTTCCAAGCCGTAGAGCCAGCATTTGTCCCTAGACAGTTTCTGTGGTCATGTGGCCAGCGCGACTAGACAGGGAACGCCATTACCTTCCCACCGAGGTGGTACCTATTTATCTACTCACATTTTTACATGCTTTCGAACTGCTAGGCTGGCAGGAGCTGCGACAAGCGACGGGAACTCACTCCATCACGTGGATTCAAACTGCTGGTCTTTCAACCTTGCAGCCCAGAGGCTTGTGGTTAAACCCGCAGTGCCACCATGTCCCATCTAAAAGCTCAGTACTATTCATTAAATGAACGGATCAACATTCCTCAGACAGTAAGCAGCAGTGGGAACATTAATAATAAGCAAAGCGAAAAGGCATTGTTCAAATTAAGCTCTTGGCATTCTAAAAGCTACCTCCAGCTGTTATAAATGTCTGTCTTAATAGAATAAAAATACAAACTCTGAGTAATAACAGAAATAGAAGCAGAAGGAACCCTAGAATAGAATGTGTATTTCTGGACCACATGCTGCTTTCATTGTGAGGAAAGAGCTGTGGGCAGTGTATAGCAGGATAAAATCAGCATTCCAACCCTTGACTCTTCATACACAGAGAGAGAGAAGTCTCGTTTTAACTTTGACAACATCTTGTGTGGAGCTGAGGGACAACAACTTCAGTTGCCATGTCTTTGTGTAAACCAGAAAGGAAACATTCTTGGCCTTTGGGCAACTGTTTCAGCAATGTCCACCTGTTCTTAGACTATGATTATTACCCTGATGGAAAGCATACGGTGAGCTATATGAGGGGCAGGAGAGCATGCTTGAAACATAGCTTCTTCCATTCGCTATAATGATTCAATATATATACAAGAACCAACAGCTGAGCCAATTCTATTGGTGTCGCATTTCAGTTTGTTTCCCACAAGAGAAACTGTCTTTTAGAGTGGTTGAAAAATGAGGAATTTATATTATCCTTCATTGAAAACGGGCATTCTTAATAAAGTGAGGGGCTGCATTGATGCATGCCTTTAAAATGTTTATGACAAGGAGCCATTTTCCAGTACATGAGGTTCTATACTCTGCAGCTCCTGGGAAAATATCCAGTGTGCACCTTGAGCTATGTAGCAGTCTCTTCTCTGTAACTCTAAAAGGCTACAACATTATGAGCTGTAAGGAGAGAGGGTTAGCAACAGCTTGGTCTTGCAGGTTTCAACACATTATACAGTGAGGGGGTTTAATATCAGACATATTAGGTTACAGTCTAGCAACTGCATGTCCTACCTCAGCAATGTAGAAGCGTGCTAAGAAGCTCTCTCAGGCAGTATAAGGAAGATTGGCGTGAGCACCAAAATAGTACGGTTTCACAGGCACCTGGGAAAAATGAATGAAGACTGCATAACATACAGTATCTCGTATGCTTTCCAAATCTATGGCTACCACAAGATAGCAGCAGCAGTATTATACAGGGTACAAAAATAGATGGATTATCAAGTGTTTAATGGGGTTGGAACAAACTCGAAATTGGTGCAGAGGATATTTTATGCCTGTAGCCTTTCCAAGGCCAACTGGTTGGCTCCTGTGTGGACATGATACTGAACTAGATGGGTCTTTGGTCTCATCGAGCACAGCTGGAGAGGAGCAGGGAATGGAGATTAACTGGATAGTAATGTACAATTTATAGGGGAACACTCATATTTTAAACTCTTCCGAAAACTGGTGAAAAACAGACAAACATCCATAAAGTGCTGGCTTTCTGCGGGACCTGCTTGGCTTTCCACATGGGCCATATATATATTTTTTGTTTTGATGGTTCTCATGTGATATTTATTATCAAGAAACAATAACTGCATTTTTGGCTGGCAGAACGTGTTTCTGATTGGAATGGTCACAGTACCAGAACTGCAAGACCCTCCCCCTTCAAAGGACTGAAAATCCCACACATGGGACAGCTGCACTGCTTTGGCTACCCTGTGGAGTAACATTTAAAGTGTGATTTCACAGTTGTGTCCTGGTCTCTGGAGGCTGTGTTTGTGGCATTTCTCTCCCTCGGAAGGAGAGCTCAGTGGAATCAAGTGTCAGAGTGGGTAGACTCCTGGTTCATATATTATCTCCTCTGGCAGTCTGTCTCCATGCTGTGTTGCTTCACATGGAGAATCCATACAAGCATCAACCTTATCTGGCTTCTGTTAGACAAACGAGTTAGAACACCGCAGCCAGAGTCCTGTTTGTGGGCATTTGTAAATGTGCTAGGCATTTCTCCATGCAACAAGTATAGGGTTCACTTTGGAGCTATATGTGTACTACCTTAAATATTGTTGACGATGGATGTAAAGGTAGGATATACATTTATGTAATGAATAATTAAATTAGACAACATAATTGTGCAATTGGTCATGTGGTTCCCATTTTGATCAATTGCACAAAATGCCACCAGACCACTTCATGGAGTACTATTACCACCATTATTACTATACAATAACCTACTATTATTGTATAATTACTATTACTATTACTGTACAATATTATTACTATATAATAACTCACTATAAAAAAGGGAGTTCTACAGACCCCCAGAAAATTGGGCCTGAGATACTCTTAGCTGTTACAGGCAGAAGAAAGGACAACGTGGCATAAAATGCGATGCCATCAGAATTTTGCTTGCTGGTAATCTGCATGTTCTTGACGCCATCACTGATATTGACTAGTTTATGGGGAAATTGTTTGGCTCTGGTAACCTTTGGCCCTTTTTTGTTTGTTTGTTTGTTTGTTTGTTTGTTTGTTTTGGCAGATTTCAAGGAGGCATTCCTCCTCTTCGACAGGACTGGGGAGGGCAAGATCACTCTAAGCCAGGTCGGAGATGTCATTCGGGCTCTTGGGCAGAACCCCACAAATTCTGAGATCAAGAAGATATTGGGCAACCCCAGCAATGAGGGTAATTTGTTCTGTGTTCTGGTCACTAGTATGAATAGGTCCTTCTCCTAACGTTTAATCCAAATCTACCTTCCCATGAGGTAGGGGCTTTTAATTACTGGTAGATAGACTTATGAAGCACTGAGCGTGTTTTTCTGTGATGCCAGCCCTGGCTACACAAGCACATGCCGCGTATCAGACTCGCGGAATAAAGGTCAGGATTGTGTCTGACAGCTTTGTTGATCAACCTAATGCAAATTCAAAACTGCAGACCTATGCAGGATTTCTTAGGAGTAAGGCTTTTGAAACACAGTGGGTCAGATCACTAAGAAAATGTACATAGCATTGTATATCATCAGTAGCAGTAGCAACAGTAGTACCGTGTTTCCCCAAAAATAAGACACGGTCTTATATTAATTTTTGCTCCAAAAATGCATTAGGGCTTATTTTCAGGGGATGTTCTATTTTTTTTGTGTGTACAATCATCTACATTTATTCAAATACAGTCCTGTCATCTTCTGGTTGCTGCACAATGGTGGAGGGTGAAGTTTCACTTAACCAGGGCTTATTTTGGGGGTAGGGCTTATATTAGGAGCATCCTGAAAAATCATACTAGGGCTTATTTTCAAGTCAGGTCTTATTTTCGGGGAAACAGGGTAGTAGCTACAGATTTTTTAGAAATCTGGGAATTTCTAAATTTGGGGATTTTACTCATATTTTCAGTGTGTGTTTTTAACAACATTCAGTAGCATACTATGGCCATATATTTTATGGTGTATGAAAGGCTACAATAACCTCATTAACTCCACAGATCTATCCCCCATGATTAGGCATGATCCATCCAGAGTTAAAACAATTTAATTCCTACATTCTTCAACACGAAAGGTTTAAGCACGTCCCCAAGGGGTGGCCTGAAATTAAGTAATGCACCTCACTTCCTGAAGTTAACAAAGTCTGGGTCTGGTCAGTATCTGGATGGGGTTCACTTTGGAGCTATATGTGTACTACCCTAAATATTGTTGAAGATAGATGTAAAGGCAGGATACACCTTTATGTAATGAATTATTAAATTAGAAATTAAAGGGACTTCACAGTACTTAACTTTGATTGGAACAAATCCATTGCAAGACCTCTAATTCAAAAGAGCTAAATAAAAAGAACCATTTTAAAAGAGTTAGTCAGACATCAGGACCTACACCTTTATTTATCTCTCTTTTTAAAAAGCTGATAAAAGCATATATGAGTTTGATAGTGGTATACAAAAAACCACATTCATTTACCAGGTTGGAAAAATACAAAAAAAATTAAAAATAAAATCAATGACTATTGCTGGTGAAAACACAAAAACAACTAAAGGATAATTTAAGTATTTATTTCCCAGTTGCTAACCCTGAAATTTCAATTCTCTGTGCAGGATGTTCCTATCAGACCAGAAGTCATCCTTGCCAGCTGTGCAGACACTGTGTAGTTTTGTTTACTTAGAGATGGAACTGTGTGCAACAACCATTAAATTAAGTGTCTTGTAAATGCTTTCTTTGTTAATTGAATACAAATGTACCTCTTCGTTGTGAATGTAGCATCCTCTCGTGTGAGATACAGCTTTAAGCAAATATTTAAATGATTCTGCCAGCTTGGAAATGAAAGGAGAGAAAAATAATTTCTAAGGAAAAGATAGGGCTGGTTGGACATCTAGCGCAAATGCCGGCTTGTTGCTTTAGAAGCCAAATACAGTATCTTAAAATATTGCAAATATCTTATAATGTCATTTATAACACTGTCTGTTTACAGAGATGAATGCGAAGAAAATTGGGTTTGAAGAGTTTCTACCCATGTTGCAGGCAGCTGCCAATAATAAGGACCAGGGCTCCTTTGAAGACTTTGTTGAAGGTCTACGTGTCTTTGACAAGGAAGGCAATGGGACGGTCATGGGTGCTGAACTGCGTCATGTATTGGCCACTCTGGGTAAGAATTCAGGGAATTGTCCAATGTGAGACTAGTCTTAACATTTAGTACTGGACTACAACGGTGTACGTGTGTGCCTGTATGTATATTATGATAACTATGCTAGTTTAAACCTAAACTAGCATAGTTATCATACAATAAACCTGAGTTGTTTGGTAAGAGCATGTCTCCTCTTAGATTCTCATAGGTTTTATGCTGCATCCCTCAAGCAGAGTAAAACTTATGACTCCTCTATATGAAAGGGTGGGATGAGAAGGGGGGAAAAACTGTTTAGCACCTCTGGGCCGACAGTGTGATTAATACCCCAATATTACTTCCAATGGAGGGATTGGGAGAGAGATGATTTACATCTACATCTATCTGCACAATTTTACACACTGAAAGAATTATAAGGAGAGGCCTGCTGTATAACCACTGACATGCTCCTTACATTTATGGGGTGTGTGGAATTGAATTTTCTGTCCACAGAAAACTAATGTTAACCGAAGACGGGGGAAAATAGAACAGTGTTATTCTCAGGCAGTACACAGGAGTTCCTTTCCTGTATATAAACAAAGGCTCCAATTTAGGGTAACGTACCTTGAACAAACCAGTTCATGGGATATTGAAGTAGCATGGGTGTTACTTCCATGTGGCCGGATCCCAAACTGCTCCATTTATCCCAGGCTTCAGTTTGCCAAGATCACCAGAACATGACCCACACACTCAGTTTCCCACTTGTGGGGTGGGGGGCAGATACATTTTAGATTATTATGCAAAGGATCTCACCCCTCCTATATCGTATTGTCTTTTAATATGGGGATACAGTGGGGTTCCAAGCACAGGGGAGGCAGCAACTGTCCACAGAGTAGTCCTAAAGCTGCTACAGTGACTTCCCTGCCTGTGGAAGCAGAAATGGAAATAAGGAGTTCAGTATCTGTTTTGCATACATCATTCTACAGCCTGTTCCAGGTTGGAGAGGTGCCCTGGGCAGTGTTGCCCTTCTGCCCCTCCCCTAAGCTTATTAGGGGGCCAGAGAGGGGGGGCAGCAGGAGGCACGGCCAACTGCACAGAGTCTGGTCACACCCCAGAGAGAAACTGTGTCCTAAGTTACCGACGTGACATGCATATGACTCTCATGCAGCAGGAACCACACTGCTCAGTTTGTCCTAGGTTTAGGGTTGTTGTTTTTTTTTCACACTGTATTAACATCCGTTTCCCATGCCAGGTGCTGGCACAAGGGCCATTCAATTAGACAAGAGAAAATAAGAATGTTCTTCTGCATAATTGTAGTCCTTTTGAGAGAGAGAAGAAACTCTTGGTGACTCAACAAGCTGGAAAGGATGCACTCTTAATGCACCGTCCAGAAGTTTGTGCACTAGGGTTGGTGACTCTTCTTTCTCTGTGCTTTAGGTGAGAAGATGAAGGAAGAAGAAGTGGAAGAACTGATGAAAGGGCAGGAAGATTCCAATGGCTGCATAAACTATGAGGGTGAGCGACAGTGGCCAGTTATGGAAAGCTGTCATGGCAGCAAGAGGGGTGGGGAGATCTGTACTAGAAGGGGGCAGTGGTGCTACGACATGAAGTGGGGTGCTTAAACCCTCTCTGCACATGCTCTTTGTCCAAAGAAATCATCTGCCCCAAGCTGCTATTGTGAAAAAAGGCAGGCCAACAGAGGCGCATATGCTGCAACTAACAGTAAGTGTGTTGTCAGAGGGATTTCACCTGAGGAGACAGTTGAGGTGGAAAGGTGTGAAAACATCAACACGGAGAAAATGCACACTCCCAGCTCCCATCTACATCATGGAAAGGGAAAAGAAAAGGAAATGAAGCAATCCACTTACATGGAAATGTGATTGCTTGATTTTAAGACTAGGATCCAAAATATACGTTACAGATCACCATGAGCTTGGGACCGGAAATTCCCACTGCTGGAAAAGTGAGAGTGTCACAGCGGGAGCTTTTCACAACTCCTGTAGTTTGCAAATTAGCTGGCTGTGTGTTGTGATTGGCTGTCAAGAGATGATCACAGGTTAGCTTACATTTGCAACTATGCTTGTTCAGTCCTGAATATCTGCTGGAATCATGTATCTGAAACATGAACAGATCTGAGCTCCTTCTGACAAGCTGTAGTTTGTCCTCAGGATAAGAACTGTTTGTATGCTGGGAGGTAGATGGAAGGTGCCTCAGAATCTGCTGGCAGATCATTGGGTAATTTGCAATATTGTAGTTCAGCAAGGATCTTTGCCTAGCAATAGTTTAGCATTAGCAATTAAAATTGTGAGTAAACACATTCTTCTGGCCATGGCGGACAAAGTGCTAAGAACAGAGGAGATTATATTCCAAACTCCAGGATCAGAGTTACAAAGTAGTTTACCAAAAATAAAATAAAATAAAATAACATCTAAAATGTATGGGGTGGGAAGTAAGTGGAGTGTGGACTGATTATGTTAAGTGGGCATGGAACACGAAAGGTTCCTCCATAGGTTCCCAGAGTGGTCTATATGGACCCCCGGGGTCAATTTTGACTTGCAGGGGGTCCACATCAGAGAGAAAAAACTGGGGGTGCAAGTTTAGACTTGTGTCACGCTTTGCAGGGGGCAGGGAATGTACAGAAAACAAATAAGTCGGCAAGTGGTCTACGGGGCAAAAGAAGTTTGGGAACCTATTCTAAATGAAATGGTGGCCTGGACTGATGTACATTACAACGGTGGTTCCTTTCCATCATTTATCTGAATTAACTCACTGCAAGCTTTTATACTTGTAGCCCACTGGTTCCCAACCTTTACTCCCCAGATGTTCTTGGATGATAATTCCCAGAAATCCTGGCCAGCATTAACTAGTGATGAAGCCTTCTGAGATATTTAGTCCAAGAAAATCCGGGGACCCGAGGTTGGGAACCACGGCTGTAATTTTCCTTCAGTGTAATCCAGGTGCCATAACATGTCACCTCCCTTTCCCCCTTCTGCCTCCCACCTCTCCCCTCTCCCACCCTCCCCATTCTCTGCCTTCTCTCTGCTTCCCCCCTTCAAAAAAAAATCTATTTCCCTCCCTTGATGGTGCTTGATTTGGTAGCGGAAGCTTCCCTTTTGTGAAGAAGGGGATGTTGGTCTCTTTCTTAGATGGAGAAAACTCTGCAGATTTTGAAAGGGAGCTCAAAGGATGTCAAATTGTTCTTGCCAGGCACGGAGCAGAGTGCAGCTGTGCTGGGAGAAAACTCCCACCCACCCACTCACGCCAATTTGGAGACACTGTCAGAAGCAGCCCTGCTCCATGTTGTTCCCCACAGCTGATATCAGAAGGAATTCTAACTGTACACGCCTCTGCAGGACTCAGGCTTATTCAAGTGGAAAAATAGACAGTGATAAGAGATTTAGAAAAAGCTGGGCTATAATAAAAACCCAGTTGCCCAGTGAGGCAAAATTAACATTGAAAGGGAAGGGATAGTGGATGGATTGGTGAGATTCCTGCAATGTCATGCAGATCTGTTCAACTAATTCAAAATAAATGTGCAACTGAAGCCCTTCTTAATCAGGAACAAACAGAACGTGTGGAGAGGCCTTAAGGGGTTGAGGGTGGGGTTAGAAAATAGAATTGAAAGGTGTATCCCAAATAGGAGCATTCCACATTACAGCATTTTGTTGCAAGCCCGTCCACCCCCCAGTTCCCTCTAACATATCAATTGTGTTTTGTTCCACAGCATTTGTGAGGCACATCATGTCCGTCTAAATGGACTTTTCAAGTCACACACCTGGTAAGCTCCTTTCATGGTCAAAGTTTTAGCTACCTTTTGTCGCATTGAAATTTTAATTAGTGGCTTTTATTATCCACACACAAGCAGCCGGAGCACTGAGCTGAGATGAGCACTATCTTTACCTGACAGAAATGAAGCAAGTAAATAAAAAGGGCATAATCCAGCTCAAATGAAACTGATAGCAGTTTTTAACGCCTCACCCCACCCTTTCTCTTTCATTCCCTCATTCAGTTGGATTTAACAATGTTTTACTTTTGCTGGATGGTGTCCATAATTTCTACCTCTGACACTGGTTTCATCTATGATTTTGGTGAACTCATCTACTTATTGATTTAAAGCATTTTCATCTCCGTTCCTCAGATGGAAAAGGTCCCATGATGGCTTATAGATGAGTGAAAAAATGAGACAATTCTACTACCTTTTTTTTTACATTTTTACTTTATTTAGACTTATACCCCGCCCCTCTAGACAAAGTCTACTCGGGGCGACTTACATAAATGATAAAATACAATAAAATAACATGCATAATGATACGTAATAATAAAACCAACTAATGGATATATACATTGTCAAGATGGGGAAATTGAAGAAACAAAGCAATTAATTGACTGGCAGGAATGCCTGCCTAAAGAGCGAAGTTTTTAAATGGCTTTTAAAAACACGCAGCGAGGGAGCCAGGCGGATTTCTGTTGGTAGGGTATTCCACAACCAAGGGGCCACTGCCGAGAAGGCCCAGTTTCTTGTTCTTTCCGTCCAGGCCTCTCTCGGCGTAAGGCCCCTCAGCCGCCCCTGCTGGCTATGTCGGGTGATCCGGGTAGACCTAGGTAGGAGAAGACGATCTGCCAAATATTGAGGTCCCAAACTGTTTAGGGCTTTGTATGTCATCATTAGCACTTTGAAATCAATGGGGAAACGGATGGGCAACCAGTGCAGAGCAGCCAGGGTGGGGGAGATATGCTGATATTTCCTCACCCCACTAAGAAGCCTGGCTGATGCATTCTGAACCATTTGAAGTTTCCGCTTCAGCCTCAAAGGTAGCCCCACGTAGAGTGCATTACAATGGTCTAATCTCGAGATTATGAGTGTATGGACAAGAGTAGTGAGGCCCCCCCCATCAAGATACCCTCCTTTTACAGTCTAAAAAACAACACAAAAGGAAAAGGGAGGGAGATCCCGTGTGAAAGAATGCGGACATAGGACTCAAGCGTCAAAGAGCTCTACATGTCAGCAATGAGAAGTCCTTCTTCTCCTTAATCAATTTCCCATGGCAGAAACAGTGGGAAAATAGGGGCGGTTATGAATGATGTACAATAACATATGAAGCCTGTGGAACATTTAGTGAATAAGGCAGGGCAATAGGGAGGATAAAAGCCTTTTCCGGCAAAGCTCCAAGGCACCAGTTCCTAGAGATTGAACTACTTACTAGCTAGCCCATTATTATAAGAGATAATTCCTTAAGAACTTAAAACCTACAATTGTCATAGCATGAACTTTGCATACTTCTGGCAGTTTGCAAATTATCTTGCTTTTATTCTTTGATTGGTCTCCAGACGTTAACATGGACCCCATTTGCAAGCATTCATGCCCAGTCGCAAAGGTCTGCCTCTGTCCTATCTCTGGAAGACGAACAGATTTCCAGCTTCTAATGGCTGGCTTTTCAACAATGGAAAATCTGGTCTTAAAAGTTGCGGAGTTTTCATAGTGACTAAATAGAGTGGGAAATAGTACCGGAGTATAGGAGCCAGAAGGAGCCATACCAAGGATTCTAATGGGACTTTTTATTGCAGCCTGGTAGAATGTATGTTGCTAGATGACATACATAATGCTCAACTTCTTCATCTGTGAAATAAATGAGGCAAACACTGGGAGCTTAGGCTTCAGTCTGCTTTTGCACTAGCACGTAGGTGGTTCCCAACCTTAGGTAATCCAGGTGTTCTTTGACTGCAACTCCCAGAAATCCCAGTCAGCACAATTGGTGGTAAAGACTCTGGAAAATCAAATCTAAGAACACCTGGGTTACCCAAGATTAGGAACCACTGCTCTCAAATTTCTCGTGAGGCCCCAATCCAGTGGTTCCCAAGCTTACAACCTAATATATTTTATTACCGATAATAACAGGCAGAACTTAACTGATGTGTTTTTGCTTTTCAGCAGAAAAAGATCAGCAAGCACTTAAGACTGGGGGAAAATCTGTTTTGCTCCATTCAATACCATCACCCTGGAACCAAAAAGGACTATAATATTCACCTCTTAACCACCACCACCACCCCTTTTAAAGCAATCAGCATAAGATGCCAATTGAATCTCAACATTTTTACACTTCAGAGATGAAACATTTGCTGAGGCAAATGAGAAGGACGGCATTGCAGCAGCTGCCAAGCCCAATAAAATGCATTTGTCCACCATGAAAGCAATGTATGTTCTTTGAACACGAAGATTTAAAAAAAAACATCTGACAATAAATCTCTGTGGTCAGTATATGGCTGGAAGTTTTCTTTAATCAGTTCAGATCCCAATTTAAACAAAATCAAAGCCTTAATTTATTTTCTCTCTATGTTTTCTTGCATACAATAAAGTTTTATGAAAAAAAATGAGAAGTTTGTGGGGTTCAGTTGGATGAATGGGGATCAGAGAGAAGTCTGGAGAAGGTGAGGATATTTGTTAAAATTGTTCCCCAAAGATTTCAGGTCTTCTTTTTGAAAATATTGAATTCTTTCAAAGAGGAGTTCATTAGGAACATATTTTTTAAACTCTCTGTATTTTCCCTAGTCAATGAAAGGACAGCTGATGAATGAGCAATTAAATTCTCTATTTCGCCATAGGCACATCCCCCATAGCATCACCCCATTCCATGTGACATAAAAGCAAAGCTCTGACTGCCCAACTGCTATGGGAATTGTAGTCTAAAAAGTTATTTTCCAGGCTTTGCCCAAAAGAATAAAAGAAAAGAGCACACTAGAAATACCATTACAGAATAGTTATTCGTAAGAAAGAAAATGGTAAAAATCGGCACAAATGAGGTCCTTAAATATTATAGAAGTGAGACCAAAGTAAAATTGCCGGCTTTAATGTATAACCTCTCTTGTAGGCTATAAAACAAATGAATTAGAATTCCGATCCAGAACTCATATTTTGGAATTTATGAATGGGCTGTAAAACAGAACATCAAGGTGGAACGCAGGCACTGAGTCCCGCTCGTTATTGAGCTTTGTCATTTAGATTAGAATATTGCAAAATATGAGCACCAACAATGGGCATTTTAATTTCACAGTTTAAAGACTGGAGATTACAGTGGCTGTGACATGTGAGGGTTTAAAAAAAAAACACCTTTATTTTACCACTGCTTCTGCCCTGCAAATCTGTTGGCTACCTTGACACACCATTTAAAAAAAAAACAAACAAAAATGACTATATCTAATTTCAACATCCCGGCAGCAGTAAAATATGGCCATTGTAGTATGCAGGAAGGGCTTTATTTAATTTTGTTCTTTGATGACTGTTTTGAAGTAATTAAATAAGAAAGCTACATAATTGTCAGCATAGCTTTAGTGTTAGATGCAACTCTTCTTTCCCTCCAATGGACACGCATAAAACTGCTTTAATCCCCCAGCCAAGTGTCAGCTTGTTCTATAACAGTCTTGCTTAACCTTATTAAATTTCTACATATGAAATGGGCATAGCTCAAGTGTTAGCAGATGCACAGACATGGTGTGGTTTGAGAAGTGACTAATTCTCAAATGCCAGCCAGCTGGAGGAGAGTCAAATTTTGATTTCCATGATTTCCTACACACACACACACACACACACCACACACACAGAGAGAGAGAGAGAGAGAGAGAGAGAGAGAGAGAGAGAGCACACCCTATGTTCCTGTTTAAACCTTGATAGGTAAACAAATTTGCCCACATTAATCTTTGTATTAAGTTATCCATGGGCAGTTAGCCAGCAATGTATTTAAAGTCTCTTAGAAGGTGAGGGTGAGCCAAGCTCCTCCATAGGTGGTTGGAGACAGAAAAGAGGCAACTTGTTTTTCAAGCTTTAGCATGTTTCATGACAGTCACATTATCTTGTTAATTTATAGGAGTAGTGTTGATGGTTCTCATATGGGGAGGGGTTAAAAATGAACACTACTGTTATGTTGCATTGGAATTTCAGATTTCTTCACCAGAGCATGGAACAGGGTACACGGAGCTTAGACATTTTCTCCTTTCATCATCTCTCTCTGAATCTAACTGCTAGTGGAGAACTGAGCCTATTTTTCCCCTCGCTGAAAAAAGAACATAAGAAGAACCCTGTTAGAGCAGCCGAAAGGGTGAAGGCAATTTGTTATGAAGCAGAGGGATGTCCCTCCCCGCAATGTTGGGGTAGTGCACCCCCAGCCTCATCCATGAGCTGCCCCTGCCAATGGCCCATCTAGCCCAGTGTTTTCTTCACACAGCAGCAAACCAAACTCCAGTGGGAAGCCAGACACGAGTGCAGCCGCATCCTACGACATGCATTCCCCAGCAACTGGTACAGAGAGGCCGACTGCCTCTGATTCTGGAGGTGATCTGTAGCCATCATGACCAATGGCCATTGGTGGCCCTAATCGCTATAAATTCAGTTAGTCTCTGACATATAGGAATATTTCCCCCCTATTTTTAGGTCCAGCTCGGTTGAAAACTCAGTGGGTTGGACCACTGGAGTCAGGGATATGGTATTTGATTCCCCACTGTGTTTCCCGGGAAAAGAGCAGTCTAAGCAGCCTTGGGCAAGTTGCATGATATTTGAGTGTTATTAGAAGGAGAGAGGTGTAACGACGATGTCTATTCTTGCAATGTTTCCATATTGCTTCTGAGATGCATTGTGTACAGCTCTGCTCTGCCTTCCTTTATTTCATTGGCTGGCTGTCTCGTATCCACTGTCAAAGATGTTTTCTACCTGGAGTAGGAAGTATCACGAGCTGGTGGGAAGCAGTAACTTTAAAGAGGGTTGAAAGCCACATGAGAATGTGACAGCCC